AGCGCCGGGGTCCCCGGCGCTTGAGGCCTGTGGGGATCCATTGGCGTGCCTGTTTTCGAGTCTTGAGGGATTTTGAGGGCAATTACTTTGTTTTTGGGTTTTAAAAGGGAAACCATAAGGACAACCGCAATTTTGGGGGTCTCGTAAAAAACGACTGCCAGAACACGTGTTCTTTGCTTGCCAGTAACTTTCGCGAAAATCCACGGAGCTTGCCAGGTTCCGCACATGAAGTGCACTGCGAGTGTAGCGAAAGTGGCGATGTTTCAGCTCCCGGGTTCGAGCCATGTCATTTTACAAACAACTCAAAAAGAGGTGCCCATAAAAATCCCAACATATCCAGCTGGAAAGCTGCTTGGCATTTTCTGTGGCATCTGCCGTATCTGACAGTCTGAGGCAATGGGAGATGTCGCTGTCAGTGTTGAGTCTTGGCAGAGTCATGATACGTCACGGCTCGGGGATGAGACAATCAACCCATGGTTGTGCGAAAATGTTGCGACATGATGGACATATCTACTTGGAAGAATGCAAACTCACCACCTATTCATGCGGCACCCGTGGTCCGGGTTGCGTGTCTTGCTAGAAGTTAGCATTCCCGCAACTTCTGTTCAAAGGGCTGCAGTTCTCTGGCTGCCAGCTACTGTGTTGTGCCACTGTGGCCTCTCGATTTTGAGCTACAGTCACAGCCGCAGTTCACATGCCCACTTAATAAGCAGTATATGTTGCGTTAGATAGGCTGGTTGTGCCGGCTCAAGAAATGTGACTGTGAAGGAGTGTGAACAACACCCGGGGGGGGAATGCACATGTTTGCATGCAACTCGACAAGACTGGATAACACAGGAACCGCTCAACTGCCAAGGAGGGTATGTGGCTCATTTGCAGTTCCTTCACCTCAAGTCACCCAATGAGTCGAACAGGCGATGGCTTCCTTGGCCACCTTTGAGAAAAGCTTCAACCCCACAAGCGAAAGATCGGTGGGTTTGCAACGGAACAAATCAGGTCTGTTCAAGAAGCCTTTGGAGGGCTGTTTCTTGTGGCTGATCCTGCGGATGGACGAAATCCTGCACCACTTTGGGCCATTTGTTGATACTTACAGCACCAAACATCATTCCAGGTGAGGATTTCGTCCGGCCGAGGAGTGGGGCGCGCCGCCGGAGCGGCACTGCGTTGAACCACGTGGTAGGCGCCTGCGAGAAGGCGCCCTCCTAGCCACGGCTGGCTGAGTGAAACGCGAGTTGGTGGATGTTCCTTGCCTATGACATGGGAGTTGTTGGGACATGGTCAGTGAGGTTGTGGTTTCGGAAGCTGCTGTAGTTCTTTTGGTTGTCCAATTGACGTTTCTATTTGGGAAGGTCCTAATTAAGAGGCAGGGGATGCCATGGCTATCAACCCAACAGTTTCAAGAAAAACGGTGCATGATGGCAGGACAAGCCGTGTTGAACGCAACCCTTGAATATGGCATCGCCCAAAGCAGACCTTGTGGCCTTTTGGTTTCCCTGAGTTGGTCTCTTTTTACACAGTTCCAAAGGATTAAGCTTTATTTCCAGGCCCTTTGGGCAAGTGAGACTACCGCCACGCCACGGTGATTTGGGTTGCTGGTTTGGGGGCGAAGGAACCCCGGTTCCATTTCAAGCCAAATGGACCCAAGGTCCAGACCACCAAAACAAGCCAATTAGGGATACGGCAAATAGATTATGTTGATGATCATTCTAAGTGTTGTTGGGTGGTCAAGGGACAGGTATGGCCTTCCTTGAGGACAATCATAGATGACTCGCACGGCTGCAGTGTCTACTTCCATAAGATCAACCACGCTTGTTTGGTTTTCCAGCATGGCATTGTTTGATCATGTATGGCCTGTCTATGCCAAAGGTCCTTGGTTGCTTTCCGCGCGCGCAAGGCATCACAGTGGCAGGCCGCACTGTTGCTGGCCATGGAGGACTAAAGCTTCACACTGTGCTAAAGCCGGCGAGTCCAAGACAACTTGCTGGTGCGATAGGTAGGGACACTGCGATTGGTGCTGGTTGGCGTGGGGAAATCTGTAGCCATCAATTTGCAAGATAGTTTTGCGTTGACGCCACATGTCCTTGCATTGCTTGCGTGCAAGCAGGTGCGGTGGAGCTTGCAGAAGTTTTTGAAGGCACTCTTCATCCCCCCAACTTGCCAGCATGTTAGCAGTGGTTTGTGGTACGATTGCACCTCACAGACGGCCCAAATGCTTACAGAGGGATGCCCTGCACCTTCGCGCAGTCTTAAGCGGCTTCGCATTTTGGTTTTGATGATGCACTCTTGACAGGAAGGTCTTGGACATGCTGCACTGGCTTGACATGTGAGTAGTTGGCTCATTGATGGACAATGGCATCAATGCATCCTTAGACAAAGTCCAATCCGCAAGAATACGGCTAGCTGGATGCTGCTGCCACATCAATCCTGCATAGCAGGTTATCAATAAGCCGTTGCAGTGGGTAACAATCATGCGTGTCCGTTTTGGTTGGTTTGGTTTAAACATAGAGAGCCCAGTTTTCCTGGTGGTTCAATCATCTACCCGGGCCAGGTATTTTCCAAAAAGGACACCTATGGTAACAATCAGTTCGCACATAGACCCCTGAATTGTGGTCTACAGGTTCATGGGAAAGTTTCAAATGTGTGCTAAGTGTAGCCGTTGGTTGAGGTTTAACTGATTCTTATTCACCAGAATCCTAGCTGCAAACCCAAGTGCTCACAATCTTGCCTTCATGACACCACTTTAGACTTTTGCACGTGGCGACTCCCTTTGACCAGAGGACAGTGCAGTGCAAAGCGATGCCATCACCTACAACGCCGCACCTTGGCGCGGAACGAGCCACTCGAGCCCGAAGTTATACAGATTGCCTGCGACTGGGATGGTCAACAACCTAGAGTCAATAACCCCTTTTCGAGCAAACCATAACCATCTAATTCTTGGAAGTGTGATACTTGCATGCACGGAGTTTGAGTTTCTGTGTATTTATGTTGTTGTCCAGCGAGTGCTTTGCCTCTCTGGCAGTCCTTGATGTTTGGTCTGGTGAACGCAAGGCATTGGTTGGGACCCACCGCCACTTCGCCAACCAAGTTTGTTACCTCACCCATGAAGGTTTCTTAGGGGCACCAACCTATACCTTATTTGGGCTGGTGAATCATCACAATTTGATAGGCGGATGGCTACATCGATTTTGGGGGCTTCCTTTCAGGTTTTCTGGACAACAAGTATGAGTCATGACCGACCAAGAAAGCGAAACTTTTTTGCAAAATTTCACTACACACGTAATCCATTTCATTCGACTCGGCGCGATCTTCCTGTATTTGACGATTGAAAGACCCTTCTTCGAAGGGACAAGCATCTCAGAGGATGAGGGACCAAGTACCAATCTTTGGACCCTCGAAACTACCCTGACTCGAGTTGCTTTAGCTGCCAGGCAAGCGTGCTCATGTTTCGTTCTGATCCCGGTTTCTTCAACACGTGCTTGAACTCTTGTATGACTCAGCCCTCACCCATTTTAATTGAGCCCTGCCTACAAGTTCCCGGTCAAGGTTCGTGTTGTTCTTGCACCCAAACACGTCCCAACAAATCGTGGTGTGTGTGTGTGCGTGTGATCACGGGTGGTGGTGTTTGCCATCCATGTTCTTTGGAGTTGCACCAAGTGTCTGTTTCAAGTTTGGTGTGAGTTCATTCTGTTGCTTTCTAAGGGACCAGAGTCTGGCGTCAACAAAAATGTGAAATCAACCCTCGTACAGTTACTTGCTGACCGAGTTCCCATTCACTAGGACTTGTTGCTTTTGGTTTGCTGTTAAAGTGGCACCCCTGTTTTGGTACTTCAATCCTGGAGTCTTCTTCTGAGGCTTTACGCTTTACAAATGGGTTGCCTTCCCTTTCTTTTGGGTTTACCCCGCGATTTTTCCTGGGCGTAGCAGACTCGCCGCGGCATGAGGCTCGCAGATCGCATCGTTGCTCGCTTCGTCGCGAGGTGATCAGCGCTTGCGACAAGGGCCACCAGTGGCTGAGGGCGGTGGAAGTCCTGGATTCCATGGCCAGGCAGCTGAGTTCTGTGTTCGTGTGTTTTTTCATCGACACACGCAAGACATACGATAACAAACAAGAACAAAAAGGTTGCGGGGTAGGGTAAACCTCTGGTGACTTTAGTGTTTGTTGTGTTTGTGTCTTGTTGTGTTTGAAGATGTCTGTGGTCTTGTTGTTCTAGTTGCTCTCTAGGAGGCTGCTGCTTGAAATGTTTTGGGGAGGCCGAGGCAGCGCTGGATGTTGCCAGTTTCAGTCAGTTCTGATGGCGGATGCTTGATGCTCCATGATTCGAATGTTTCTCTCCTCCTCGGTTTTTGAAACGTTGGGTTGAGAACACCTGGACACCCACTTTGGATATGCCAAGGACACGGACGGCGGGCATGCTTCAGACAACTTTATGGTCATTCCATGTTCTGTGATACCAAGATAATCCATAGGTATGGCAACCAGTTTGGAACCACAGAAAGCTCCTGTCTCACAATGGACTTGGATATGGGTTCGTCTTTTTGCGGATACCCTGCTCAAAATGGTATAAAGGGAAACCAAAAGGACACCGGGACAATCCACCCAATTTTTGGGGTCCAACTCCCTTGCATACGCATATCATATTGCCTCCCGTGAGCTTCTAGACTTGGCAAGAGGGATCCCTCCCATGCGTGGATGGGCCATGGATGTTCGTGAGGGGCACGAAGGAGGCCTGGAGCCCAGAGAGGACCCGAGACTTGCCCTTTTCTTGTTGGTTGGAATCTAAAAGGAAGCCTGCAACAGAAACAAGACAGGGATAGGTCAAGGGAGCCGGACTGCGGACTGCGGACTCTGCTTTCTGAAGTGGGGCCAGCCAAATATATATATATATATATATATATATATATATATATGGAAAGCCCTTGAGTCAGGCGGCGGCTGCAGCGGGACCGGATCTCCTTCTACTCCGCAGCTAGAAAGCGAAAGCGACAGGGGGTCCATTCCCTGGTTGACACGGAACCTGAAGCCATGTATATTTGGAGACGAGTCTCCTTTTTTGGGAGCTCCTGTCCGTATGGACGCATTTATGTTTGTGATTCTTAAGTAAGTTCCTTTATTATATATATATATAGTTTGGACCCAGGCACCAAGGTGAGGGCTCTTGTCTTATCTATTTCTCAATTTGGGTTGGTGAAAGTCATCCACATATCTATGACGCTTCGACAAGGCTCTCGTTCCTTGTTAAATGGAAAGGCCGATGTTGTTGGTTGGTAGGGCTTGCCTCGCACGTTTACCTAAACAGCCCATTTGTGGATGTATTGCAAAAGCTCAAAAGGGGGTGGATGATAGTTGTGTCGTTTCCCCCCCCCCCCCCTCAAAGCAAGGAGACCCCCCCACCAGCTTTCCCATGTATGTAGTTTGGCGAAGGACTCAAATTTTAGATGGAGCAGGGTCCGGAAAGGATAGAATTGGGCTAAATGATCACCTTCACCAGCTCATTTGGAGGGCCTTGTGAAGCAGGACATTTTGGACGTACCCTTTGAAGGAACACTTTGCATCTCTTGGGCAAGGATAAACACCCGTGAGGGCCGAAGAGACCTTAGACTACACCAAGTCCAGTGCGGCCTCAGATGTTTCCAGATGCAACTGGGGTTGTCTCAAAATAGAGCCCAAACTTGCAACGGTATCCCTTTGGTGTTCCTATTTAAAACCAATCAAAAGGGGGACTCACAAAAGCCACACTGATATGGATGGTTTACCTTGCCCGCATGCATTGTCCTGCTTTATTGGGGATTCTCCTACAACAATCCTTTGAACACCCAACCAAAAACCTCCAGAAGAGGGGACATGTCACATCCCCTCAAAGAGGCGCGCAAAACTGAGGCCATCCACGCCTGTGAGACCTGCGGCGCTTGGTCTTGCGCCCTGGAGCTCTTGGAACAGATGCTGCGCCTCAGCCTGGAGCCTCAGGTGCAGTCTTGGAACTGTTTGGTTACGGGCAAGGAGACCAAAGAACCCCAAAGGGAAAGGCTTGTTGGTGTTTTTTTGTTGTGTGTGTGTTTTATTTTTTTGGTTGGGTTGGGGGGGGCTAAATGGACACCAAAAAGCAAAGGGAAGCCGGGCATGGGTATGAGTCGTAAACAAGTTGGGGACTCCAGGTTCTTTCTCGAAACACAAGGCATGGGTGGTTCCCCTTCAGTGTCCTTTTGAAACCCGTTGAGGGCTTGCCCAAATGAAGCCATATTGCTCTTTTTTCCAGGTACCCTTTTCAGGTTGGTTTCAACGGAAACCAAACCACTCACCTATTGCCAAGATTTCCACATGGTCTTTGCAGAACCTAGGCCCACTTACCCCCAATCATCAGGTGTTTGATTACCTTGAGGTTTGGTGGATGTCCTTCTCCAATTTCAAAATCGCTGGTGTCGAATCGCAAGCTGTCCTTTCCGCCCCCAGGAATATTGAGGGCCACAAGAACAAAAAGTGTACACTCCCTCCAAAGGGGGCTCTTATGTTGAACCACCTACGGTGCAAGATGCAAAGCCTGATCAAGTAGGCTGAGCTGGTCAGGAAAGAACATCCTCCTTGATTGAAGATGAAGCTTTTAGGGACCGGAGGCAAAGCGTTGTGTGCTTATCGGGGGTGCTTGGGATGCTCTCGTCGGGAAAAAGCTCAGGGCAAAAACGATGGCTCAATTCTGTGCTGTTGCTGGTGCTATTCTCTTTGCCTAGCGAAATGAAGGAAACTGCACTCCCCAATCTTACCAAATTGTGGCTCTGAATATACTGCCATCTGGTCACTGAAGGGCGCAGTACACACATTATTCTCTTATGGCCATGCATAGGCCCTACATGAGTGTTTTGTTCTTTGAGGGTACCCTTTTCCCCGTGGTTTCTAAGAGAAGCCAAAAGGAATGTCACCATTGCGGGGTTTCCTACTTCCAGGTGTGGAGGACTGCTTGGGCGCAGACAGCCTGCCGGGTACTCAGTTGGATCAAATTTGATTGGTCCGTTCGGAGGGTTCGTCAATTGGTTCGTCGGTATTTTGCTTGGTTGGTCTGGCTGCTTGGCTGGTGTTTGCTTGAGATTGCTCGGGATTGTTTCGGATTGCTTGGTTGGTTGGTTGGTTGGTTGGTTGATTGATTGGTTGGTTCAATTTTTGAACGGTTGGGTTACTCGAATGTGACGGGTTTCAATGCTATGGCCTGCTCGCTTGCTCGATTGCTTTGTTGGTTATTCTCGGCAGGTCAAGTCAGTGCAGACTCTATGATCAGCACGCACTGGGAACGGGTTATATGACATGTCTCAGGCGCGTAAATAGGGGTCCTTATAACAGCATGGTTTTCTCCAAGCTTGTTCATAAGTGGATACAAGATCCTCACCACACCACTCGCTTTGCTATCCGTGGTATCACAGAAGTGGACAATTTCCACAACCCGTTGTGAATTGGATACTGTTGCTGGGTTACAAGCCCTGAATGTGGCAGGCACCAGCTCAATTTTGACCAGCTGAACACTGACCAGGAAGCTTTCCTCTAGTTTTGTAACAGGGTCTCTTGGACACATAGGGGCCAGTTGGACAATCACTTTTACAAACTTGTGTGTAATTGTCGTTTACATTGCCACTGCTCGGCACTCAGGCGGCGAAAGGACAGTAACCATTTGAGACCTAGGAAGCTCGTGCCCGCGATTCCGCGGAAGTAGATCAGTTTCTTAGCTTTATCATGTTGTGATTCCCATTCCCGGTAGTTGGGGGCAGTGCTTTGCCTTTGTGTTCACATTGGAACAAGCAACACAGCAGGCCATGTCCTCATGGTGCCCTCTTATTTGGCTGGGCTGTTCAAATTTATATAACCGATAGTCCTTACTCCCTGTGCCATATGGTAGTGTTTGCCTTCTTGTGGTGTCTCACTACGGATTTGCGGATTCGGGTTAGGGATACATCCATTTTGATCAGCCCATTTGGCTGCACCATGCATGAGTTCCATGGTTTCGCTAATATCGCGAGGCAGCGCCGGGACTATGTGCACGCATTCCAGGCTGGCGACCCCATCGACTGCTTCAAGCACGTGGTGCCTTGCCGAGAAACATGGGACGCAGGGTGCCGGGACCGTGTTGGTTTGTATGTTGTTACTTTGACCGCTTTTGGGTTTGTGTTCTGTTTGGTTGGCTGCTTGCTTGATTGCTTGCTTGTTTGTTGTGTTTGTTTGTTGTGTTTTTGTTTGTGGCGTTTGCTTGTCCGGTTGGTTGATCTGCTGGTTGCGTGAGTGAGTTGGTTTGGTTGGTTGGCTGGCTGGTTGGCTGGTTGGCTGGTTGGCTGGTTGGCTGGCTGGCTGGCTGGTTGGCTGGCTGGCTGGCTGGCTGGCTGGCTGGCTGGCTGCCTGGCTGGCTGGCTGGCTGGCTGGTTGGTTGGTTGGTTGGTTGGTTTTTTGTTGGTTGGTTGGTTGGTTTCTTGGTTGGTTAGGTTGGCAGGAGGATCTGTGGGTTTGTTTACGCTTGGAGCATCTGTCTGACACTTGAATTGCCCCAGTGTCCAATGCGGACAACGGATTTGCCCCCTTTTTGCTGCTTGATTTTCTGTGGGACCAGGCCCCATGCAGAAGGCTGGACGGTGAGCAGACTCCAACACAAGCTTTCTCAAAATGTGTTTTTCCTCAGGACAAGCTAGAGGACAACTGATACTGGTTTCAGGTAACACCCGTTTGGTGGTTTGGATTGGTGGTTTGGGGGTTTAAACCCTTGGTTGAACTAGGGAACTTTATCGGAAACCACCCCGAACCTCGAAACCACCACTCCAACCGCCAAGCAGAGAGAAGCTGGTCATACTGTTTGGCACCCTTTTGAACGCCATCCCAAAGTCCCCCACTTTCAGACTGGCCCCCCAAGCACTTCGTCAATTGGTTTTAGTGGTTTGTATCTTTGAGAGCAGGCCCTTCTATGGTAGCGATTTTTTTTGTACGCAGGAGAAGCTAGTGCCGCGTCAAGTGCGTTTGGCAGGGTGGTCGGTGGACTTTGCTCGGCAGGGCCTGGACCTGCAAAATAGTTTCAACGTGTCCATGGCCCCGGGGGAAAACCATGTTGCAGTGTTGAAGGGATCCGAATGGCCGCGGGTGGGATCCATGTCCTATTTTGCGAAATGAGCAAGTTAAAGAGAGTATACCTATGTGTGGCCAAGTGAAGATACTCGAACCCGGGCGTATCCAGGGGTAGCTCATTGCACGTTCTTTCGTCGTTGCATGCACACCCCAACCCAAAGGACTTCAGAACGAAGAAGGTTGCAACCATGTGTCCATGTTATCACATGGGGCTCCCGACCGAGAGGTGGTGCTGGCTCTCTGGCAGCACCTGGTGGCTTCTTCCAGCGGCGGCCTCGACTGCTTGGATCTGCACGCGGGGGCGGGGCGCTACGACCTGCGCCGGGGCGACAGTCAGTTCCACAGGCGGGAGCTGGACAGGGCAGAAGGGGGATATCTGGATGGGTGTCTCTTGTTTGAGTTGGCACCCCCTGTTGGTTGGTTAATTTTAAAGGGAGGATAAAAGGAAAACCAACAGTGTCCCCTAAAATGAGGCAAACCCAGGGAGATTGCAATAAAATATTATCCGGATATTGTGTTCCGGGGGGTGTCCTTGGAGACTCTTAACAGTCTTAACACAAGCACAAATTGTTGGCAACGTTGACTCTCAGTGTCCGCCATACGGATTGGGCGGGGGTGGGGGGAAGGTTCCGGGCCATTTGAGAGGTCGGTCAGCTGGGTGCCCTGCGACACATTGGAAGTGTTGATTGAAATCGGAAAGAGAGCCAGCCAAGAGGAGCCAAGACGGAACAAACAAATTGTCGGTGGTTTTGAGGTGTTATTCAAAGCTAATAGTAGTCATTTCTTGCTGTTTGATCGTGTCTTGCGCCTGAGAGTGCACAAGCAGAGAAGGGGGCAAAACTTCACAACCCCAGTCTCAATTATTTCCGAAATTCCCTCTACGGAGAGGACCTTCTTTTGGGGATGGGCGGTGGAGAGGCTACACAAAAACAATGTCAGGCATGAATTGTCCATTGCTCAACGGGTTGAACATTGCTGTTAACATGAGAAATGACTTGCATTGCAACCCTTATGTTTGAGGGATCAGTCAACTCGGGCAGCGATACAGGTTGTTTCCTCATGGACAATGCAGCACTTGCATGGCATGGGGAGAGTGCTAGGTGACAGAGATCTGTTTGCCGTAGACAGTAAGTAATTCATGCAATACGCCTCAGTCATTGCGAGTTTCGTTGGGACAACTAGCTTGCAAACAAAACGTACCCCCCCTCCCAATTTTCGAGTCACTTGAGCAATGCCCAAAATTTGCCATTAGCCAATGTAGGCGGGGCTGGCTTCCAAAAAGATTCACTCACGTGCTGCTCCAAGGGAGGGACGTCGCCTTGTCTCAGCCGTGTGGCTACATTCAGATGCCAACTAATCAAGGGCTCCAGAAACCAGCCCAAAAGACTCATTTTGCACTGGACTTGCTTGGCCCGGGCCTATTGAGCCCAGACTGTTTGTGTTTTCCGAGTCTCCAGAGTCTCAGTCTGCTTGCAAGAGCCCAAGGAGCGCATATTCACATACCCGAGCCCGGTATGCCGTCCCAAGGTCGACTTAATCAACCTGGCGGATCATAGAAGGTGTTCCGCGAAAAATGTCCTCACATGGGACTCCCTCTATTGATGTACCAGGGTTATGCCATCCCATGGAAGTGCACGGATCCGCTGTGGAAGACTGGTATCCAGAGGGTATCTCAGGTAGCCCTTAGTTGCTGGTTTGGATTGATGGTTGGGGGGTTTGAGCGCCTTGTTCTGGAGGGCAAATTAGAAGCCACCCAACCACCCAACAACCTCACCAATCCAAACCACAAACCAGCCGGATTTCCAGGAACTTCGAAGACGGGGTTCTGCACCTGGACCGCGCCCTCGGCGTGGGCGCATCCTTCACGGCCTCTTGGCCCCTGAGGGCTCGATTGCAATCCCGAAACGGACATGTCGACCACGGGGAGTCGACTCTTGGGCCTTTTGGTGTTCCAGTTGGGGTCGACTTTTCGTCAGCCCCCGACAGTGACCTTGATTTCCAGATGGGGGCAACGGGGCAGCATGCAGGTGTTGGCCATGACAGGAAGCAGATTCCCTGTGCTAGCTGTTCCTTCTGCCGATTAAAAGACCTGTCTTTGGGTGGATACGGCAGTGGAGCAGTGGAGCAGGGTTCCATACAAAGATGATTTCAAATGGCGTTAACTGGACCTTTTCGCAGCCTTCTTCACCGTTCGGGGAAGCCAAAATCTGGTGGTTGTTTGAGGACACCCTTCTTGGGGCTTCAAAGACAAACCACCAAGAAAACAGCCATCGGTGCCCTATTTTGAGGCAATCTCAACACCTCAGGTCATGCAGTACCTCCAAACTTTGCGCCGCAACGGGGCAGATGAGGAAGGCGCTCTGTCACATTCAGACAATTGGCAGCAGGGCTAAGAGTTTCATGTCAATCCTAGTTGCTGTGATACCAAGGGAATCCTCCTTGACGAAATCATCATGGGACACCTTGGTATCGCAGAGAGTGTTATCTCCAATGCTGGGCGGGAACTCAAAAGGCACCGACTTTTATGAGCCGAGCTGAAGCTTGCTGTCCAAGTACATCCAGCTAGATAGGTCAAAGTCCTGCGTAATGGAAAACCAGAAATAGCAAACAACTGGTGCAATAATAGAGCGGGTGCCCCAAGAATGAGGGGAACTGCACTTTTGGGTGAAACACCCCCGACTCTTCCACCAGGTTGATTCATCCGGAGGGACATTGTCAGCTTGTCATGAAGGATTGATTACAGCTCGCTGACTTGCAGTTTTGTTTTTGTGGATGGGCCTGATGGAGCATGTGCCCATCACCTAGAGGGTATGCTTGAGGGAGTGAGTGCGATGAGCGGTGTTGTTTTCCCTGAGCGAACAAAGCCGGGATCGCCCAGCCTTGGTCTCTTTGCTTCACTGGAACTCGGCTACAAGTGCACAGACCTGTAGCAGATACGGCACGGCACTGAGGGTGGCTCAAATGCTCAGATGGTCTACCGCACTTGCATTGGACAAAAGCCCGCCAAAATCGCATGGCGCACCTTGCTCTAACGGGACAGTGTTATAGTTTATTTGTTTTCTTCTCCATGGGGGGGGGACCAGAAAAGGGGGATATGTCATCGCACAATGAACCGTTGTTGTTGTTCTTTCCAATGGAGATATATACTGTTCTCTCTTGTGCGTATTTGTATGTCGAACATTTGTCTAGTTTCTAAGACCCCCCTGTCTCCTCCCCAGGCAAACAAGGAGTCCAGAGACCCCCGGTGCAGCGGTGCACGCAGGGCTACGGTACTACCTCGGCTCCTGCGGTTTGCTGCAGCAGTGGCTGCGGCCGCAGGATCGAGCGACTTGGAGAGATGGAGACCATTTGCACGTATCTATCTTCTCAAGGCCCCCACCTTCAAAAAAAGCAAAGCAAAGTTTATATGGTGATTGTCCTTTTGGTGTTCCTTGAAAAAGACCAAAAAGGGGGTACCCTCAAACAAGACATACGCATTTGTGCCATGGTCATTTGACGCGAACAGGTTTGGGGCTCGATAAAAATCAAGATCTCTTACCCTGGAACTCAATTCAGGTTCGGGATCAAACATACTCAACCAACCAGCACCTGTTGCGGGACTGTAAACCAGAAAATCGGCCAAGAGTCCAACGAACCACAATTAGGATCCTAGGGGTCCGATTCTTTGGGAGCGGAGCGGTTTTCCACCCGCTCCGATCCACAGGCTTGGTTCTTCGAGGCCTCGGAGGGGGTGATGCAGCAGCTGCAGACCCATTGCCACGGCGGCAACTGGAGCTAAGATATGGAGCTGACGATGGAAAGGGCCCCCAAAGAAGACTCCTCGGTGTCTTGGGGTTCTCTGTTAATCTGCGACCTAGTTCTGCCAACCTCACCGACCAGTTGGTTTTGGCCTGCCAACCCATGAATCTTCCCTCCTTGGGCATCTCAGATGTCAGGAACTGGTGTGTGATGTTTTATGATTTTCAAGGGCCAGACAAAATTCAGCTCTCCTGGATTGTTGTTTTTTGTTGATCTTTGAGGGGGATCAGTTCATAATTTTCATGCACTGATCAGCATCAAGCTGGTATGTTGCAGGTCTGCGGGCACGGAATGTGAAACGTGCTGTGTTTCTTTAAGATACCTACTACCCGTTTTGGGGTGTCCCTTATTTAACACATACCTAATCAGGTCCGGCATCAGCGATCAGCAACCACGCTCACCCGATGAAACCCACTTACACAACTGTTCGCACGCATGCTGAGAGAGAGAGCGAGAGATAGAGCGAGAGAGAGAGAGAGAGATGAAGCAGCGAAATCATTCCAGTCTTTCTTGTAGTGAAAATTTCGAGAAGGTCAATTTGGTGTTCTTTTCTGATGCGGATCCAACACTCGAAATAAATACCTTTCTACATCTCCAGCTTTCAATATAGTAGTTCCCACTGTGCATCTTGGCAGAGATGTCCAAAGATGAATGTTGGTTGCAGATACAATGCTAAGCCATCACTAGTCGTGCTGTAAGTCAAGCGCGTTTGTTGGCCTAGGAGTAGTTGGAAAGCTACTGAGAACAATCTCTTGAAGCCCAAGCATTTGATAGACGCCTCAATTGTGCACAAGGCTGAGCTGAACTTGTCGTGTACACATGTAGCAAATGGATCGCTGGGAACGCAGAAGCGTGAAATATGCGAAGCAAGGAAGGGATCTGGTTTTTGCATGCAGCCTGCATTGAGAACAACAACAAACAAATTCGAACATGAGTTGACAGGGCATTTAGAAGCCGCCAACCAGCCAACCAAGCAACCAAGCAAACAACCATCCAAGCAAGCAACCAACCAGCCAACCTGCCAACCGGCCAACCGGCCCACCAGCCAACCAGCCAACCAGCCAACCAGCCAACCACCCAACCAGCCAACCAGCCAACCACCCAACCAGCCAACCAGCCAACCACCCAACCAGCCAACCGGCCAACCGGCCAACCGGCCAACCGGCCAACCAGCCAACCAGCCAACCAGCCAACCAACCAGCCAACCACCCAACCAGCCAACCACCCAACCACCCAACCAGCCAACCACCCAACCAGCCAACCAGCCAACCAGCCAGGCAGCCAACAGCCAACCAGCCAACCAGCCAACCAGCCAACCAGCCAACCAGCCAACCAGCCAACCAGCCAACCAGCCAACCAGCCAGCCAAGCAACCAAGCAACCAAGCAGCCAGCCAGCCAAGCAGCCAAGCAGCCAAGCAGCCTGCAAGGCAGGCGAGAAGGCAGACCGACCAACTAACTAACCAACCCACCAACCCACCAACCCACCAACCCACCAACCCACCAACCCACAAACCCACCAACCCACCAACCCACCAACCCACCAACCCACCAACCCACCAACCCACCAACCCACCAACCCACCAACCCACCAACCCACCAACCCACCAACCCACCAACCCACTAACCAACCAACCAACCAACCAACCAACCAACCAACCAACCAACCAACCAACCAACCAACCAACCAACCAACCAACCAACCAACCAACCAACCAACCAACCAACCAACCAACCAACCAACCAACCAACCAACCAACCAACCAACCAACAAATAGCCAAAAATGCAGAAAAAACAAGCAACACAACAGCAGCTGTAAAGACTATCATGAATTCTACGTATGTGACCCTCTTTGGAGAATCAAGCCTCACTGGGCTCCAAGCGCTGGGATAGTTGCGGGGACAGCTGAGGTAGCGGGATCACATTGCCACGCGGAAGCAGGGAGTTGGCTTCGCACAGGGGGCTCAACCTCCACACTGTGGGATCCAAAGTTCACGGGCAAAGAACACAAGGCAAGCCACAGAAACCGGGGCAGTAAATCGGCGGGGGGGGTGTTGGAGCAGTCGCTTTCGACAAGTTGCTTTCCCAAGACCACCAGTCCACACGGATGTCCCTCTTTCATGGATATTGCAGGCAAGGTCCCAGATTTGTCGTTTTGGTGTCAGAGGCCGAGACCTGAAGACCGAAGGTGGAAAGTGGTTGACTCGCTCGTCAAACAAGCATCTTTGACACGCGTTCAAAGGCGGCACAAGGCCGTTGCCAAATTGTCAAAACTGGCTTCATTTGCCACAGATGACAGCCAATCCTATCTCAAGTGTGGCTCGGGGTGATGTTTCGCGATATTCTTTTGTAGCCGTCTAGCCATGCATGTCTTGCCTGGCGGCTGAGGTTGCAGGAGGACTCCTACCGCTGGCTGCTGTCGCAAGACATTTCCAGCGTCGGCCGGGGGCGGCGTGGCTGCGACCAGATCTCACAGCAGGTGGCCTGTGGTTTTACTCTGTAGAACAGCACGCAACTTGCAGTTTAGCATTTAATCCTAAGCTACCCAGGCTTGGGTGCCGGAGAATGCTTGGCGATGCTTGGTGTGTGGATGTTCCGAAGGAAACTGGGGCGGTGGTTGTGTTACATGTATGTGTAGTATGTATGTGTATATATATATATATACATATATAATATACATACATGCACACATGTATGCAAATATTAATATATGTGAAGGTTGTGTATGTTATTAGGACCCGTATTCACCACCCTGCTTCATAGGGATTGGCATCAGCACATGATAGCATTCTACACTTGATCGATGCTTCTACTACATTTTGTCCATTTCTTTCGCATGCAAGTGAGTTACCCAATTCCCAGTTGCCCCTTCTACAACTTTGTCGTGGTTGCAACTTGCAACATGATCAATGCTTTCAACGGAACCTCGAAGTAAAAGCAGATATGTTTGCCAGCGTAATTGGGTTCACTGTTTTTTTCCTCGCATGACACGAGTACGTGCCTAAATGGGATTCCCTTGTTTGGTGGCCTCCTACAAGTACATCAGAGGCAAAAAGGGCAGAACAGCGACGTGTCACATGTTGAGCTCAAACGCGAAAAGCCATATCGATTATATCTTGCTTGGGATGGCAAACTTTACACATTTTGTTGGCCGGTGTTCGCCTCATTTTAGTCAAGGCCGGTGTTGGCCTCATCTCCCGTGTGAAGTGTCGCCCAGATGAGTTTCCTGTGGGTGGATTGATGTTTATGCCGCACGCCGAGCATGTCGGCATCCCTATTCTGCATCTACCCCTGAGCCCTCCACTTAACACGCCGCTCGAGGCTGGTGCTCCTGGACCCGCCCTACGATTCGGAACCCTGGCCGGAAGACGGGCTCTGATCCTTTTAAACAGGTCGACTCCTGGTTTCGGAGCTGTCTTGTATTCAACGGTCAAGGGCTCTTGGCGGATGGGCTAGGCAAAGACACACACACACACAGCATCCCGAGATATCCCGACGGTCCCTGTTTGCAGGAAAGGCTCCAGATGGTAGATCAGAGAGCAGATGCTTTGTCAGCGAGGTTGGCACCTTCACGTTCCTTCTGCCAGTTGTGTGTGTGTGTGTCACTTGACCTCCTGCATAGGCTGAGTGGCAAGATGACACAGCTCGCACACCTGTGGCGATTGTTGTTGAGGATTCGATTAAAGCTTTCACCAAGACATCCAAAGGTGGCAACCTGTGCTGGAATCAACCTATCGGGAACTGACGCTTTGGCATCCTGGATTTGGGACAATTTGTGTCTCCTCTCAGCGCGGGTTTCGATGGGCTTCGAGGTGGACTCGTACCACGTGTGGAACATCTTCATGCTGAAGTGCCTGCGTCAGAGGTGGCCGTATCCTCAGCGACAGCGCAGAGGGCAAAGCCAATGGATGGGTTGGGCCAGGTTTTGATAAACACTCGGGGGCCCAGGAGTGTAAACGAGCAGTTCCATCTGAGAAACCCTTCCAATCTTGCAATACTCATACCATCCACGCCATTGTCCACGCGATGTCCGGAGGCCGGACATGGTCCTGGTTCTGTGGTACCCCTGCATCGACGCGGCCCAGACACAGAATTTGCACCTCCGCCTTGCCGAGCTAGGCAGGAGGTTTTGGGGCGGAGAGTGATGGGGAGGTTCTCAGAATTTCTCAGTTGCCACAGTCCGAGCAATCTGTTTTTTGGGTAAGTGCACGTTCGTGTACAGGCATGTGCAACGCCGGTGATGTTGCAAGCGAGCGTTTGATTCTTACTGGCAGTGACGCAATTGTACATGTCATGAATTGCAACCTTTATACATGTTGTTGTATTTTGAAGGAGCCGTCATCATACAAGGTTCTTGCATAATTACCATGGACGGTTGAATTGGGATGAGCAGCATTGGGTGAAGCCCAGACCATATAGTGCCGAGCCTTGTTAAGGGATTGACAAGGCCATGCAGCGTCCGCCCATGGACCCCAGTAGGGCTGGATTTGCAAGGGGAATATTATCATGACTCAATCGAGTGGCTGGCCCGTGCTGCGAGGTGAGGAGGTGCTGATTGCAGAGATGGAGGTGCGGTGCGCGTCACGATACCCGTGAGATCCCACTCCACCCGAAAAGCAGCCTACTGTAAGCGGAACGAGGGGAACTTGCCTGCTCTTTGGCCCTCAAGCGTTGACTTTATTGCAAGTGTTTCCAGTCTCCCATGTGGGTATGTCTTTGTTTGAGGGTACCCCTGTTCTGTTGGAGCGGTAAAGCAGGAAACCAGTCATTCTTACGGGGCACCCTGACTTTAAGACACACTGCAGAAGCTAGCCTTTGACTTTCTGGGACACTGCCGGTATGTCCAGCGGCGGCGGTCAAAATTAGACGGTGCCGGGAATAACATGTTTCTGGCGTGCCGATGTTGTTTGTGTGAATTGTAATCTGGACTTGCCTAAAACCAACCTTTTGATCTTTTGGTGTTCCACTGCTTCGTGTTCCCAGAACCCAAAAGCACAGCCCTTCATATACAGGTCGTTTCGGAAGGAGAGTAGTGGGAAACACCCTCCAAAGTGGTTGGGAACACCCCCAAAGTGGTTGGCGGACCTAAGCTTTCAGGCAACTGATGTCCACCGAAGTGTTCCAACTAAGCTAAAGTCATACATACCCAAACACTGAAACCCCAAACCAGCTTGCTTTTTCTTTGTTAATGTTTGGCAAAGCTTCAACATACATGTCCAGATTATGTGCAAGTTTCGGGCGGCTTTCTTCACAGGCCTGGCATCAAAGAAGTATGCTTGCTCCCCATGCAATCCAAGGCAACCAAACACAAACGGGTGTGTCTTTGCTCTTTTCTGGAGGGTCCCCAAATCGCGTGGTTAAAGAGAAACCAAAAGGAACGCCGAAGCCATTTTGGGTGTGTCCAATTCCCAAGAAAGACCCACCCACAACTATGAAAAGTGCGGAGTCAGCTGTGTGAGGTCCAGCGACCCCATGAGGATCAGCAGTCGCGCGCCGGCGGGGCGCCCAGAAACACATCAACTTGAGTGCCAAAATCCGATCTGATCGGTGAAGCTGAGACCCAGATCAGCGGGTTCCACCTTCTCCTGGGCTGCCCACTGAAAAGGGTTCCCCTTGTCCTACCAGGGTCCCTGCGCAACTGGGTGAAGTTTGTATTTTCTGTAGAAAGATCCATTGTTCCGAATTGAATTCTTAACTTGTTTGAAGCATTTGTGATGTGGTTGATATGTGCGAACCTCGCAGGCAGGGCGGCAGTGCGCGTTGTCTGGTGTGAATCTTACCTGAGCACCCACCGACGGGGCTTTGTTCTTTGGGGTATTTCAAGAGGCAACTCCAAGTGACTGCCCAGAGACCCTCGCGAAATGCCTTTTCCATTTTTGTTGGGGGCAAACGAGTCACTTCTGACCTGCAGGGTTCGAAGTTCGGAACGTAATGTTACAACTTGATTAATAAAGGCCCCCCCCCTGAACAATGGAGGCGCCAGAAAAATGTAGACTCACTTTTGGGACGTCCAAACAATGGCGGATTTTAGGGCCCAATTCTACTTTAGTATTGCAGCCACTTCCTTTTGGCAATTCTATTTTTGTATTGCAACCACTTCTTCCTGAGCATACTTTTTGGAATACTACTTTAGTATTGCAACCACTTCTTCCTGAGCATACTTGTTGGAATACTAATTACGATAGTAGCCATTCAAAGGGTGTGCCTTTCAGCCAGGGAGGGCTTGAGCTAGAAAGAAACCAATTGAAAGGGGAATGCTTTTAAGCAAGTGGGCCACCAATTGACAGGGGGATGCTTTTAAGCAAGCAAGTCGGCGACCAATTGAAAGGGGAATGTTTTTAAGTAAGTGGGCCACCAATTAAAAGGGGAATGCTTTTGAGCAAAGCAACTGACAGTTTATTTTCTGGAGGGGGCTGGGGGCTTGCAACTAACGTGGTCCCCCTAAAGAATGCCATTGCTGTGGTTCAGTGGAGTCTGTGAGGGGTACCCTTGTCCTGATTGTTTTGTTTTTTTCATTTTTTAAACACGGTTTAATAAAGAATTTGCAGTTTCAGGGCTGGGGATGGATTTAAGAGTTCAGAGGTTTCAGCTGGCTTTGGGTTTTGTGTTTGAGCAACCAATTAAAAGGGGCATGCTTTTAAGCACGTGGTCGACCAATTGAAAGGTGAGTGCTTTTAAGTAAGTGGGCCTCCAATTAAAAGGGGAATGCTTTTGAGTAAAGCAACTGACAGTCAGTTATATGTTTCATTGTTTGGGGGGGATTTTTTTGATTAAACTTGATTTGTGGATCTTTTTTTTAATTCCCCCCCCCCCCCCCGGCAAAACAACTTTCAGTTATTCTGGTACCCCTCAACAATGGGGGCGAACCAGAATAAGGAAAAACAACTTTAATTATTCGCCGTTAAATGAATAATCGAGTGATAACATTACCAACGATGATTTCCTCTTGCAAATCTCATCAAATCTTCCAAGTAGCCTACACAGAGAACCCAGGAAGGTGGGTGACGAAGCCTACGGGATGCATTCAGATATAGCATGCGGCCCTCAAACTGCCACGCATTTGACCAGGCCAATGCAACCTGCTCGGACTTTTTGAGGCACTTATGTCGAGCCCCAGGCTACACTTTTGCAGGAAGTCTACAGAAGGAGCTGTGCTTCGTTACCAGTTAAGCATGCAGGAGTCTGCAGCAGGAGAGAGCGTACCAAATCGCTTCAGTTCGATTTGGCCGATCCGCCTCCGTTTGCCAATGTGAACGAAAAAGAAACTACGGCATGGCTCAAAAGCCTGGGTGGAACCACACCAGTAGCTCCTTAAGTCTAACTGGCAGTCCAACCAACTACCGCGACCAAGGAGTTTCCAGTCACCTTCGTGCCTTCCACAAATCTCCGGAGAGTCACTCCTCGCAGCCTCCAACGTGCCGTGCTGCACGAACACCGGCTTGGTGGTCCCACTGGCCTTTGTCTTCGCATTATCGGGGGTAGGAACTGAAAAGTCGCGAGGGCTTCACCCACTCCAGGTTTGAGGGCAACCGATTCACGATTGCAAAGTTCGGTCAGGTTGCAGAAAGCTGATCGTCGACGGGGGCCATGCAAATACTGCCACACGTCTGCTGAAGATGGCATCCAGAAAAGCAAAGCGCAGTTCCACCACCTTCAGCATATGGTGCAAACGCTCGGATTGGCCTTGACATATTAAAGGCTGCGCTCATCCTGTTGCAAGCACAAAGAGTCGTTGCATTGACAAGCTTGAAAGCCAAACATGATGGCCTGCATCATGGTATGGGTGCTCAGAGCGGGCTTGACCTGTAGAAAGCTGTGATCATCCTGTTGCCAACAAAAGATGCCGTTGCGTTGACATCCTTGGAAGTCACAAGGTGACCCAGATTGCACCAGGCGGGGTTGTCCGGCACATCACATCCTACTTAATTACCACATAAAGGTGTACCCCCAGTCCAGTGTAACGCGTGCCATGGCAGACGAACCCTCGATCGGCATGAACAGTTTCACCTGCTGGAAGGGACTCGAGCCGAATCTGGTCAAAACTCCTTTTGGAGTATTCCAGTAAATGCAGATGGTCATCAAACCCTAGCGGCTTGAATCCTTACAAGGGTTTCTATTATGGAAATATTCGCATGCCCCACATCAAGAGTCTTGGCCATAGCATGTTCGCTGGCATGTTCTGAACACATGCTCATGCGCATAACATGCATGAGCTGAGGTATGGCCTTGCTTGGGGCGCCCGTTGACTTTCAGACGCTCGGCGAAATGATGCCATTTCTTCCAGGCCCAAATGGCTGTCCAATGGTCTGTTATGTGACCTTCCTAATGGCTACAAAGGTGCTTGTGGTTACTGTGGCTTTGTTCTTTCTCCTGCTCTTGTTTCTGTTGCTGTTCCTCCTCATTGCTGCCGCCGCCATCAACAGCAATTCTGGTGGCATCGAATTGGTGCGTTGACTTTTGGTTTTGTGCAGGAAGTTCTCGGTTTGTGTGAAGCAATGCCCAGGCATCCGCTGGAGTGCGAACTCTCGACTTTGGCGCGAATGCTGGCAAGCAGCTGCTTTGGCTTTGAAGTTGTGATTTGTTTCGCGGCACATGTAAACTCGTGTTGTTTGTGTGTGTGTGTGCGCCAAAACTGCGAAAACTGGTACAAAAGAGCTACCCTCAAAGCAGACAGACGTGGTCATAAGAGTATGATTGTTTGTTGCTGTATGTTGCTGTCTGAACGTGTTTCATTGCCGCATTGCCAGGCCTGGTTCATTGGGTCTTCAAGATGTTGACCCTTTTTGAAAGCGTTGATTCTGTGGACAAGCTATATTGTTTGGAGTTTGACAATTTGTATCATGATGTGGATAATCATGATTATAGAATGTTGACAAATCATACTGTGTTGTTGCCCCAAAGATTCCTTTGGCCAGCTGCCCCGATTCTGAGCAAATTTGACCAGAGGAGCCATTGCCCAGCACTGCACCCTCAGTTCGGTTGACGCCGCGAGCCAGCATAAGAACACTTGGAGCGGGTGTTCTAAATTTCTGAGTTTGCATTCCTAAGCTTTTGTCGGAGAGCGCATAGCCACAGCCTGTCGTAAGCTTTCGCAGGAGCTAGGTATCAAGCTTGGAGCATTGCTGCGGGGGTTATAGGGGATGTACTGTTTTGCCTGTTCACTAATCAGCGGTGAGTTTCGGGTCTTGACCATTTTGGATTCAACGCGCCCCCACCAGCACACGCACACACACGGAGAACCATTCAGCTTCAGTCAAACACGTACACACTTCGCTTAATGTTATGAGGATGCAGCAAGCTTTGTTGCAGAAGCTTGCTCTAGGATGCCTTTTGCTTGCCATCATGCTTAGCACCAGTTCAATTTGTTGCTACTGTATTGTTGGCTTTTCTTGTAAGATGTGTTTCACCATTTAGAACCTCAGTTGATTCCATAGCCAAGATCCACGTGATACACCAATCAGACCACTGGAAGCCGCATAGTTTTCGCACTCGGGCCCGCTCCCAGGCCCTCACGACAGGAAGGTCGAGCCATTCATTTCCTGGCTGGGGAAAAGCGGCTCGCTTGCGCCCGGCGTGCTTGCGTCTCGAGTCGCTACGAAGTTGTGCGCAGGTTGAAACAGATGTTGCAGCTGCCTAGCTGTGGTTCATGTAGGTCAGGTTTTTTGGAGGGTACCCGTTTTTGGCGGGTTTTCAAGGGAGATAAAGCGGAAGACCACCGTTTGGAAGGGTCCCCTAAAAAGAGATACCCATGTGTTCCAAGGTGTCATTTTTTCTTGGTTGGCCTGTCTTCAGCAATTCAGTGAGGCCCACTGAGCATGCGGCAGCATTCTCTTGGCAAACCTGACGAAACTTGCTGTTGCGGCCTCCAACTCCAATTCAAAGTATGTGAGGCCGGATGCAGTTGTTTCCTTATGAATCCGGCCCCCGTATCAAATAGATAATTTCTTTCAGGCTTTCCCTTTTGGGTGTAACAGCAGAACCATCGAAAGACGGGGTCCCAAAAAAGAGACGCGCTCCAATGTGTCGGCTCAAGACAGAGGTTAAAGCGGGCGCTGGGTGTATACGCATGTCGGAAGGCTGCAGGAACATCCGGATGAGATTCAGGGCAGGTTTCAGAGCCGCAGAACTCAAACCTGAAATCCCACGGGCAAACTGCGCGCACCTTGATCGGACTGTCTCATGAAAGCGGCCATTGCTCGTGAGCCGATCTGCCACTCGGATCACACCGTGCATGCCCCAACCATGTCAAGAGTGGTCAATGTTGCTTGCTTATTGCTCATCCGCGGGTTGGTCATTGATGATATTGTTCAGAGGGCAAGGGAGTACAAGTCAGTGTTGCACCGAGCTGGCATCGCTTGTCGAACATGTCGAATCCGGAGGACCAATTCCTGATTGACTAGTCATGGAAGCAATGGTCAATATTGTTGTTCATATTGTTGAACAGGGAAGATTGTTGGGTACTGTCGCCAAGTTCGCATTTGCGAACGGGTTGCTCGCAAAATTCCAAAGTCACAATGAATTTGACCAATGTGTGTTTTTGACAAAATCTATTCAGAAGGATTCTGACCGGAATTGTGGGAAGTGGACTTTTTCGTGGGGTTGGCTTCCTTTTTGAGGTTCGGTACGCTTTTCGGGGTTGGTTTAAAGGGAAACCAAAAGTATTTATTGAAGCATGTTGAGGTCTTTCGGGGGTTCCCCAAAAAAAGGCGCCCATTTTGGCTTGAGGGAGGGTTGACTCGCCAGTGCCAATCATCCCTCCAATGAGTTATAGCTATGATTTGGGCGACACCCCACAAAACGGTTGGTGGACACACATCCCCATTTAAGTTTTGCTCATCAAGCGGTCCCTCATGGCCCTGATACATCAGGGAGTAGCTCCTGCCTGCCTGACCTGGGCCCCATCCGTGGCTTTCCTGGAGGTATGCCATCCTAGGAGCTGCCAAGCTCAGTCCAAGGGGAAACCGCATGCTGATCACAACCCCCACCTTCCAACTGAGCACCTTTCAGTTGTCTTGTTTCATGAGAGGTTTGCAAGCAGCTGGATGCTTGCGCGTTCAAGCTTGTTTAAGCTGGTGATAAGCATCCTTGTTAGGTGGATTATTTCATTGCGAGAGGCTGGCGCCTGAGAGAACGACACACAGACACAATGTGATGGGATATTCATTGGACTTTAGAGTACGACGCAGGGTCATGTCCAGCGCATGCACTCACAAACACAGCACGCACACCACGCACGCACACCACGCACACCAGGCACACCACGCACGCACGTACGCGCGCACGCACGCACAAACGCACCAACGCACAAACGCACACAAACGCACACAAACGCACACAAACACACAGACATTGTTCATGTTGCCGACACATGCGAGTCTTGTTTACTCATGGCTTTTGTGAAGGTTCTGCCCAAGGGAGACCGACGCTTGAACATGAACATGAAATTCTTCCAGCCTTCCCAGGTATTCCCGTTAAAAGCGAGCTTGCTCTAAGGTACTCTTATCCGGTTGATTTTGTTCAGCAAATGGCACCATGTTGGGAACTACTCAAACTGGGAGGTTTCCGATTGGTTTCCCTTTCAATGAGGCCACCTCCCCCCCCCTGCCAACCAAAATAAGTCAATGAATAAACAAATAAACAACAGATAAATGAAAATGTACTCAAATTTGACCAGCATCGACAAACCTAGCGTCCAAGGCGAAAATGTCATTACCAGCATTTCGCCTGGCGTTGCTTGGCATGGGCTGGAAACGGTCTGTGGATGGGTCCCACTGCGTCAAGTATGGAATTGGTTCATTGGTGGCTCCGGTTTCCCTTTCCAAAAAAAACAAGATGGGTGGAGTCAGGGGACCCTGACCCCCACCAATGCTCCCCTCCCCTTCGGGTGGGGTGAATGCGGCTGGGGAATCTGGTATCTCTCGAATGATTTGTGGTCGTGTTGAAATTTTGTGGATGTCTCGCCTGTAGGCAAACCCAGCGGTGAGAGTTAGTGTATGTTGCAAGAATGCAGCAAGGAGCTCTGAAACTTCTGCCAAATTATTCCATCCCCGCTCAGATGTGTTGGAGCCATGCTTCGTTGGTGGTTGGAGTTTTGCGATGGCCACTCCTTTGGCAATCAGTTGGGGAAAGATTCCGATGTTCATGGTTTGTTCTCCGTTGTGAGGGCATAAGACATTTAGTGGACATGTGGCCGTGTAACTAGCAAGATGCATCATTGCTTACTCTCATGGTTGCACATGTTCGGGGAGGTGCTGTTGCTGACACTTGCAGGCGCTGTGTAAACTACGATTGTTGAATATTGTTGAAGTTCGTTGTCTTGGGAAGACTGCCAAACAGAAGCACCATGCAGAAAGCGAATATCAGACAGCATGGTCATACAGTACACTTTTGTTCATACTTTTTCCGGAAGTCTTTGGTTTGCCACCGCGCGCCGTTTTGACCAGTCACAGGCCGAATGGAATGACTGGCGTGGGATTTTTGGTAGCCCAGCAACGCCAGCGTATCATACAACGACCAGGTTGAGTTGCTTGCATCCATTAAGGTATCCATTAGTTTCAACCTGTGGTCGGCGGGCATGGCACTGTGTCTCAATAACATGATTTACTTGATGTAATACAGGTACATCAGTGTTACATGTGTTCAATACCTCTGTGTGCCTATTGCGTTGTATGCGGTGCAAACGCTGGGCACACAAACTAACTTTGAGGTATGGTCGGCTTTGCGCATCCTTTCCACTCTTCCATGGTGCAGCTTCGGACATGTCCCGCATGTCGCTTGTGGCTGGTGGCGGGCGCTCGGCGTTCCTTTGCGTCGCCTTGCTTTCTCTTTTTTTTTCCGCTTGGACGCCCGGTTTCGTCTGAGGTAGTCTCTCTAACCTCTGCAGCATTGCCGCGAGGCCAGAAGCTCACTCAGTCTGCCGTGGGTCAGGCGGTCAGGCAAACCGCCCCTTTTGGTGGTGAATTTTCGTGGGTCCTGAATCTTGCCGTGGACATCATGTAGGTTGACATTCATGTCCACCAACAGCTTTTGAGGTCGCTCCCAATTAAGCTTCATAGGCTTTGGACCTCGCCTTGGAAGTCGTCGTGGGGTTGATCTTTCCAAACCTCTCGTGCTTGATCCGCACACGGAGCTATATTGGGAGATTATGGGGCCCACCCATTCTCTTGCGTTTGGGACCCAAGAGAAGCCGGGCATTTTGTCTGGCCGTTTGTGTGAACTAGCTGAAGCACTACTTTTTTGCCGCATTCTGTTGGTTTGTTCATATGTAAAGCACCAGCAGCAGCTGCTTGCGCAGGCAGCCTGAAGCACCAAGTTTAACAGGTGGGCGGGGGCTAGACCTCTAAATTTTGATGAAATGCGCAACGGTCAATATTTAGTTATGGGGGTGAAATCGGCGGGACACCCTCATTTCCATTCAGAAACAAATGTGACTTCCCAAATTCGCATGTTGGAGACACGGTGAATATTGACTGTGGCTCAAGTCCCTTAGGTGGCACAAGTATCAGCGTCTGAGAAGTGTCAACATGGGCTGACCAAGTGTAGATCCATTGTTCCCAGCTTGCGTAAGCTCACATCTGCAGTAGCTGGCATGACATTGGGTGCACCAGCTAAACTACCACAAGAAAGCCGGGTAAACAGTAGCTGAAACCTGCTTGAACCTATAGCACACCATGTTTGCCAGCCCAATTGCTTCCCACTACCTTTTTTGCCGCTTGGTTCCCAAGATTGGCAAGGGTGTTTCTCTTGGCTTTCCTTTCCTTGTGGTTCCCCTTTCCTACTGGAATCCCCAATTTTCGTCGACATCTCCACCCACATCCTTCTTTTGACCCTTTGCATCTCTTAAGTTCCCATTTTTTTTGTTTCGACCTTCCATGCCTCCCCCTTTGCTTCGACCTTCATGGGGCTGAGCCACCGGGGCAGGCACAAGAGCCGAGTCCAAGAGCAGCTCTGCCTCAGAGGCGAGCACTGCGTCGGCGCGCCTCGGAGAAGAAAAGCAACGACTCCGAAGGCGTCGCCGCTTGGAACTCGCTGAGTTGATATACCCTCCCAGCCAGGGGGAAGAAAAGACATTCTCTTTTGGCTTCCTTTTGTGAGATGTTGAACAGTTGCGGTTGCTATTTTGCAGGTGACTTTGCAAGAAGAAAACGGGTGTGTCCCTCGGTACCTTCTGTGGTGGGTTTTAATGGAAAGCCAACGCTCATGCTGGGGTTCTCAAAACAAGATACACCCATCAAAGAGTAACTACAATGGGCTAAATAATTGCTGGTAGTTTCTCGCACAGTCATGGCTTATTCTGGTTTACAAGTATGTTACACGCCCTTGCGCACTGTATACTTTTGGGGAACAGAATCTTAGTGGTAAGCAAGAAGTTTGGATCCTTTTGGCCAAGCCACTCGGGAAGTGGTGAAACAGGATGCCCTTTTTGTTGGTTGATGTTGAAGGGAAGCCCGCCAGAGTAGAATCCTTTTAAATGTGGAGCTACGAGAGCTCAGCGACCCCCAAAATCAGTGGTCGTGTTGCACCAATTTAGCCTGGTTTAATAGGAATCAAGCGACATATACACCTCGATGTTCTCAAACATGGACCAGGGCCGAACATATGAAATCTGTGTACCTCAG